TTAGTTATGTGATGTAATATATCCAGATAATTCACAAAGAGAAAAATATACATTTTAATTAATTTAATTAATTTATTTAACAAAAATTCTTAAAGAAAGCAATCGACATTATTTTATACAGTACATGTATATATTATCTTACGTTAACATCGAAATGGATTATTTATTATAATTGTTTATAAAACAAAGATTTTCTTGAAACTACAAAAAGTAACATAAAATTAATCATAAATCAATAAAATTGAATTCCTGTTTTTTTAGGATGATCTATATCATATATCTATAATTTAAATGTAGTGTACTAAAGGACAAAAATATATAATTGTCATTTTTTCAGGTGAAGTATTTTTCAAACCATAAAAAAAAATTTTATCTGGAGTAATATTCAAGAATCCATGAAAACAGTCGTTTGGACAATTAAGTAGAAAGCTTGAAAAAACGGGATGAATGCACCGATCACTTGTATCTGCCGATTTACATTTATAGCACTTCAGATTTCTAATGTCATCGATATAATTAAATTCTAAAGGCATTGTTTGCTTGCTCAAAATATTAAAAACCTTCTTCTTTTCCGATATGCTCATGCCAAATTGACCATTGTTGCCGGTCGCATCAGATATTGCGCTAATCAAAAACACGGTTGTTAGACAACAATTTTGCAAATAAGTTAAATAATTTACATCATTTACCAGTAATTTATTTTAAGCTCAAGTCTTTGCATATCTAATTGTTCTTTTACTGAAAATAAATAATTAGTTTACCGTTACTACGTACTGGTATCGGTATGTCATTAAACAACTTACATTTATGATCAACAGATGAACAAATTCCATGACATTTAATCTTAGCGTTAGAATTATAACACAAAAAATGAGAAGCAACAACAAAATTTGTTTTGCTTAAGTTATAGTGTTCATTCGCTTTCGTTCGTGTTATACATGTCATTATGTGGCTAATGTTTGCGTCATTATCGTTAAGTTCTTCTGTTTCAAAACTATCGCCGTTGATTTTTGCAAATGCTTCGTTGCAGATAATATTAAGATTTGTAACAGCACTGCTCAAAAGGAAATCGGTCGAGAGATCAATTATTACCCAGGTAAGTTCTAGAATGATGGTTTTTATAGAGTTTGAATTAGGCTTTTTAATTTTTCCTACTTGATGAAGTACGATTTGTGGTGTAGTGTTGTCTTCATTGTAGTGAAGTCTCAAAGCGAAAATTTCTCCAGGATCTTTATGATTGATAACGTTTGCAAAGACTTTGTGATGTTTTCTAAGATTATTATGGAAAGTAAATTTTTGTATATATGGTTTATTGTATCTCGTGTCATAATTAAACTTTATAGAGTTGACCCCAGTGTTAACGATAGTTAATCCAAAAAGAGCTGAAATTGTTTTTCGGATAGGGTCGTCTAATATATCGAATATAGAAACAATATCGTCGTATTCGATAGCCTCCCAATTTTTAAAGTTGTCAAGCGAATTTAACCATTCTTAAGAATGAAAAATCGTGAAAAATTAATAAAATAAATTTTCGAAATTTCAACAAAGAAATACCTGATTCATTTTCTCGAGTAGAATCTTTTCCACCGAACATTTCAAAGCATGATTCATTTGCTTTTGATTGTTGAGAAGAATCGGTGGCTGTATAATTAGCATATTTAACACCAGTTCCAGTGTAACTTATGTTTTTTCCAAAGCTTAATTCACCAGAAATCTGGTTCAAATTTCGGGATTCTCCTAAATCGCTTTTTTCGTTCTCAACATAAATTATTTTTCCTCCGAGTTTTATTTTTTTACTCAAATATCGACCATATTTTTCTTCAAATTTTTTGAGTTTGTCGCGTTTTGATTGATCATCGTCTCCCGACAGTGCTTCATTCACCTCATTTTTGAAGTCATGTGTTGCCTCTACACCAAGTTTGTTCATATCAAGAATAGCTTTTACTCTTTCCTTTATACGGTAGGTGGTAGAAGTTTGTTCTTTCTTATTGATCTCTTTAGTCATGTTGAAATCTATTCCAAGCTTCATGCTTATTATGAAAAAAATAAAGCAAATTTAATAACTTTGAATAACTTAATAATTTAAACGCTAAGAAATTATAATTACCCAGGAGCAAAAATAACAGTCTTTGCAATTTTGTTCTTAAACAATTTGGCACTAATTTCATTATTGCACTGGAACAAAACGTCATGCATATTACTTGCGTCCAATTTGCTATCAGGTTCAGGATATTTGACGAGTTGAATTACTTTGGAATTCGCTTTGATTTTTTGTTCATCACCTAAGAAAAAGCCATATTCTAAATGTTTCTTTTCTATAATCTCTATCCAGTCAATTTGATCAGGAATTCGCTTAATACGAAGAATATTTTCGCTAACAATATCTTTCAAACTTTTTCTACTTTCATCAGCCGGAATTATTCGTCCAATTTCACTGACAAAACACGCATTGGTGCCCATTTTAATCCCGTGAATATATCTTAGATGCTCTCTAATTTCGCGAAGTTTATAGGATAAATTGAGAGATACCGCAACAGGCTCATTATCATTTACTTTCACAGAGATGTCTTTGATTTCTGCTTCTGAAGTAGAAGAATAGCTTAAATTAGACTCCATTAGAAAATAATGAACTTTAATGCCAACTATCAATATTTTATTGATTATGCAATTACGTGAAAAACGTAAAATCTAGTTGTGCATGTACCACGATTGGCTAAACAAATGCAAATATGTGTGCTCGCTCTTATTTTTTTCCAAGTTTGGTTTTTTGTATCAATTGTACTCATATAAATACATGCATTTGAGGCAATGATTTTAACATAAAAAATCCAAAAGTTCACTAAATTATATAGAACGTGTATTGGATTTTTATCATTAAAGTGCAAGCTGATTGTTATTAACCGCATAAAACGATAAAAAATGGTATCAAAAGCAACTTCTTTTGATTCTATTCAGAACGATTCTAAGGAGAGAGAAATAGATTGGATTGAATTTTTTCAATTAGAATTCGGATTTATTTTTTCAGATTATGGCGTAGAAAAAGCAAAAAAAAAAGCCTTTGACATTGTCAAATTGCCTGACATGACATTCAATGATACAGCAACTCAAAAAACATATAGCCTATCACAACATAAATTGAAAAAGGAAGCTTTTATTGCATCTATTGGTATTGCATCAGAACAAAACTCTATCGAAAGGTTATTAAATGCAGGACTGAATGATAACAACTTGATGAAATATTGGTTTAATGATGGAGAGAGCAAATTGGCCTTTTACATATATTTTGGAGTTTATAGCGAACAATTGACAATAAATATATCTAAAGATCATATAAAGCTGAGAGAATCATATTCGGAAGGAATTCAAAAATTAATAAAATATAATAATCCGTACCCGAAATTAGAATCTTTCTTTAAAGAGTATGGTTATTTTTATGAATCAAAAGTTACAATCGGCGCTAAACTTGATCGGCTATTTGAGTTCTATTCAAAAGACTTAGGCAATAACGATAAAATCAATAAGTCGAATTTGATCAAAGGTAAATTAAAAATTTAAGAAGGTAGTTTATCTTACACAATATACTCAATCATTACAACATTTTTCGTTTTTAATTAAAGATGACTTGCAGTCATATTTAAAAGAATTCGAGAAATCCGTAAAACCATTTGACAGTTCATATTTATACGATTATAACTTAGATCCAATAAAAATAAAGTGGGTACTTTTCCGATTTAGACTTTTAACTTGCCAAGTTTGTTGGTTGAAATATTTTGAATTTTTTTAGGAATATTGAAAAATGGCTTATTTCAATTCCCGATCGTAAAACCGAATGGAAAGTGATTAAACGACAAATTACGCCATTATATCATACTCTGGAAGAACCTGTCCGAAAACAACTGGATGATTTGCTTGGATCGGAAAGCCGTATTTTGATGTTTGGAAAAGATCAGGTCAACGATTGCAAATGGATAAAATTTCCTGAAGCGCTTCATGAAGCAAGCTACCACATTTTTGGTCGTATAATCAGTAAAAGTGATAAACATGTAAAAGCTGTTCCTAAATTTAAGTATAATGATGTAGAAGGCTTCGAAATTTCAATTGAATCATCCGAGAATGAGGACGAAATACAGTAAGTTAGTCTTCTTTGAAAATTTAAATATGTAATTGAATAATAAACTTTCTTTTTTGTAGATGTAGAGAGCATACAGTAGCTTGGATAATGGTTGGGATCCCTTATAAAATTAAATATTCCGATCCATCTATTCGCAACTTAGAGATAGTAATTGGCTCGATTCCAATCAAGGAACGAAAAGTGAAGTTAAATATTAATCAAACGCTTTGTTCAGGATATATCCTTGCAGTATCATTTATTTATCCTTATTCAAACGTCGAACCAAATTTTGATTTTGAAATTTCGTCCTGGTCGAGTCGAGGAATCATCACTCTCGAAATAATTGGTCAAACAAATAATGATTTGTTCGATAATAACGATAAGGACAGTGTGACATTGTCTTGGTGTTTGATCTTAGTCACACCAACAAAATTCAATGAAAAAGACTCGAAGTTTTTAGAATTTACTTTATGCAAAGACGTTGGTCATATGTTGAAACAAAAAGGTGAGGAAGAAACATTTGAATGGGATTTGGAATCAGCAGAGGGTGGAGACGCAGGTGAACAAAATAAACTTGGTCTGTGTTATCAATATGAAACCGGAACACAAAAAGATGAGAAAAAAGCATTTGAGTGTTACTTGAAATCAGCAGAGGGTGGCGATGCTGGAGGACAATATAATCTAGGTTGGTGTTATGAAAATGGAATCGGAACACAAAAAGATGAGAAAAAAGCATTTGAGTGGTACTTGAAA